TTACTCGGTACCACCGGTATTTAAGAAAACCTGGTAACGTAACGTTTTCATTTTTTCAGTACCGACTTGGTACCGAAATACCGGGTCTTTTGACAACACTAGACTGTGGTATGACGCTTCACAAAATTTGTGAATGGCAACAGAATTGTGTTGTTGCTCTTATTTAGGTACGAGTCACTCAATTTTGAAAAGAAACGACCCAAAAAATGTGTCATCTTTGGCAAGTGGCAACATAAAGCGCATCAAGCTGTGACGGCATTAATCCAGGGATTAAAACAGCATTAAACATCTCTAGCCTCACATAAGCCTTGACTGCTCCACATTAGACAAAGGAACACAAGGAAGATGTGTCATATGGTACACCTTGTCTTTCTGGAAATATTCAGTCCTAGAAAAAGGTTTAAGATGGCTTGACTTATCAATGTTCCAAAAAATTTTGGAAGGAATCTGACTGACATGGTATGTCTGAATAATATGCCGGTCTTTGTGAATTTGCTAGCACAAGCACCTCAACACTTGATTGAGAGGTGGAAAATGGCCGTTTACAGAATAAAACAGGTATTGCAATGAACAATTCATCCTTTGTGCGGTGTAAACGGACACATTCCTGTGTCATGCCCTGCCCTAAGGGAGTTAACATTAGTCAAGAGAAGCATTTAGTATATACTTTTGTTTGATTATTATTACTATTACTATTTATATTGTTATTTATTATTACTATTATTATTGCCATTACATCAGGTAATGACCTTGGCAAAAATGTTGAACAGAAGTAAGGGATGAAAGAACAAAAAGAAAGGATGGAAGTTTGGATCATAGCATTACCAGAGATGTTGGCTGATTGGAGGACTATAGGATCAGGAAATATTCAGCTGCAGATTAGCATCATAGTGTATGATTCCAATGTAAACTCTAAAAATGATTAATGATGATTAAGATTATGATGAATGTAAAGTAGGATGCAAGAGAAAAAACATAAGCCACCAGTTATCACGTTATATACAGAGAAATGTTAAGCCTCAAGGTTTGTATTTCCATCTTGCATGCAAACTGGTGGAAAAATCTCAAAATCTCCACATTTTTGCTTTCTCATTTATAGCAGAAACCTCTCTTGTTCCTTTTTCTGTTGTGCAAATCTTTCTGTTGTGCCACTCGTCTGCATGACCTTTAGATCTGTACTCTGTAAGTCTGAGATAGGGCTCAACAATATTATAAGTATATATTTTTTCCTAGTCAGGCCAGCAGTTTCAATATGTGCATTAAATTTCAATATAAAAATTATCCATTTTATAACGTGTGACATGCATTTTCAATTTCATTTATTTTATTTTATTTTTACACAGCTACTTGACAAATACATTTTTGTAGAAAACTTTTAGTAGAGACTAGCCTTGGGCGACGGTTAATTTTTGTGATAATTATGCATAAATCAGACCAATCAGAGTCAAGTATTTCATATTGCTGTGTGATCATTTTAATTTGTTTATTCATCATTATCCTCTTCTAAAACGTATCTGTTAGCCAGCTAGATAACATTATATATTTAATTCAGAATTTGCAACAGCAATGTTCAATACACAAAAACATCATTAAAAACAAGTGGCTTAGAAGGGTCGCCAATTGGACAAGTGACAGCCAGTCTGAGATTGTGAGCTGGATTGTTTCAGAAAGGTTAGTGGATGGCATATAATGACAACACACAAATTTGGCAAAAAAAAATTATATGGTAATGAATTTGGTCTGCAGAGAGACCTACTAGCCACCAGAGTATATAATTACTTTTTTTAAAAACTATTTATAGCTTGGAAGCATTCATCATCTTCTCTCAAAATAAACAAGCAGGTCAAGCACTCATATTTGATATTTTTGTATTAATCTAAAGCTTATTGTGCTCAGTGCTTTTAACAAAACTGAGGTGGATGGATGCTCAGCGATGCAGGTCTTGGCATATCAGTTTGTGCATTGTCAGTGTTTCAGCAATGTTTGTGCGTAGGCTTCTTGACGTACAGATAAGCACACACAATAGCTCACCTCATTCTTTCGAGCTCCTAAATGACAGCACCTGTCAACTGTGATGACACATGTGCTGTGTGTGTCAGAGAGCTGGTTCAGTCAGAGACCTCTCACATGTGGTAGTTGTTGGTTGCTGTCAGCACAAGGTTAACCGTCAACTGCCAGGAGCTGAACAGAACCTTGTGTGTGACAGTGCTGTTCTCAAGCAAATGAAATAGCACGGATTATATGGATTGCACTATACTTCCTTTAGAAGTGTTTGCACAAAGCCCAGACCTGAACACCTTTGGGATGAAATTTGAATGCCGACTGTTAGCCAAACCAAATCACCCAACGTCAGCATCTCTCTGAATAGGTACAAATCCAACTGCCATGTTCCAAAATCTAATGTAAGACCTTCCTGGAAGAGATTTTCTTTTCCCCTGTGCTTTTGAAATTAAATGTTTAACAAGACACAAGCATCGGTGAGGTCAGGCACTGATTATTGGTGATGGGATCTGGCCCGCTCCTCCAATTCATCCAAGAGGTTTTCAAAGGGGGTTCAGGGCAGTCAAGCTCTTCCACACCAGATGTAATAATTGAATAATAAAAAAAAAATGCATGCATTTTGTTTTGGTTTATGTTTTAGTTATTTAGTTATTTTCTTATTAAATAAGTAAATACATTTTCTTTTTTTTTAATAAATTTCTTATTTATTTTTATGTAATTAATTATAATTTCATTGAATTATTATTAATAATACATTAAAATAAATTAAATATTTCTATTTAAAATTTTTTTAATTTAAAAATAAAATTAACAAATCTTTAGTTTTCAATTAATTATTCATTTACCTTGGTTTATTAATATGTTTTTTAAATGAAGTTTGATTCAAATTATAAAATAAAAAAGTCAGTAAAGGGGGTTCATGAGCCCTACTGATCATGGAGCTGTGGGGCTATATGAGACGAAAAAGGTTGTCTTCTGGAAACGCTCTGTTTTTACAAGGATGGAGACAGTTTAAGGACATCTGTAGCGGGCTAAATGATTCCCTACTTATTCGCAGTCATGGTTTCTCCCCTCCCTCCCTCCGCTCTCACACACTAATGCTTGTATGAGCTCTGCGATTGCTACAGACAACTTGCGCCTGGGACAACCCCAACCGCAGCCCATAATGATCCAGGCTGTTGCCATGTTTACATGTGTGTTTATGTTTGAGGGAAGGCGTGAATGATGAGGTGAGCGTGTCTGGTTGAGCAGGCAGAAGAGCGAGGGAAGTCGGTGTCATCTCAAGCATAGATTTAATTAGCTGATGAATTCCAATCCTGACGTGCCGAAGCCGTGAGGACTGTAGGAGTAGTATCGACAGAGGAGGGTAGCGTTATTAGGTAGAGCTGAAAGAGAAAGGGTGTTCGCTTGTGCACGAGTCGCCCCGGGCCACGGGGACTTTCCCGATGTCAGACATAAATCCTGCCCCCCTGACAGTTCCAAGCTGCTGTGGAAGCACGAAGAATCTGCTTTTGCAGCACAATTTTCTATGAGTCTCCCGCTCACTTCAGATAACGTGTAAAATGTGGCTGCACTTACATAAACAACAAAATCCCCGTAATTTCCACATCTTTTCTTAGCCTGCAAATGCATAGAGGGAGCAATTTGGAGTTCGCAGCATGCTTACTTGCATCAGTGCAATGGCTACTGCTACTAGTAACAGCTGGAATGAGCAAATTATGGTATAAGTGTTCCTCTAATAGCACTATTTTGTCACATTTATGACATTTGAAATCTGTGTCCTGGCTGTTTGTTTGGAGAAAACAATGCCCAAGAAATGAAAATTGCTTGCGGCGCGGTATAAGATGCCGTGAAAGTTCTCCACACAATCTGAAGACATAAATCTACTTGTACCTGACAGAAACATGTCTCTCTTAGTTCTAACTGGTATGATTGAATGTTTTGGCTCACAATTAAAAGCATGTTTGCACAGTCCAAAAAACTTAAAGCTATTATCCCAGCAACGGTAATGATAGCTATTGGATGAGTGCCAAGCAACACAACTAAAGTCAATCCATTGCCGCATTATAAGGATTATTTTGAAAGTGATGTGAATTTGCGTTGTGAAGACACTTAAATATCGTTTCAGTCTCACGATAATCAGCTGTCAGTCGCTTTTGTTTTCTCTCTGAGGTGTGGTTACAGATGTGCACTAGGGTATTTCGTAGATCATGCCTGTTGCCGAGGGTTTGTCTCGATGGGAAAAAAAACGTGTAGGTGCGATTCTGAGAAGTCTGTCTAATTTGAGGAACAGGTTAGATGAGTTAGTCTCTCCCTCTCTTTCTCCTGCTCAGTTCCTGTCTGTCTTTCTGTTTCTTGCTTTTCCTCCCTATCTTTAACATCTCAGTTTCAGTCAGGGATTCCCCGACTCGCTCGTGTTTGGGAATCGAGTATGTCTGAACTCGTTAAAATAGAGCAGAGACCTTCTCGCTCGAAATCTTTTAAGGTTCAGATTTTCAGTTGATAGTCAGTTTTGTTTGTATAATAGTTTGAAATCTTTCAAATCAAACTAGGGATTTTTCCTTAAAAAAAAAAAAAAAACAGATAATGCAACATTGTTAGATAATATTGTGTTTTGCATTTGATGACTTGGATATTATATGCACTGAATGCCATTATCCATATACAACATTTAGTTGTTTCAACCAGTTTACATAAGCTAGAAGACAAATTGTTTGATGCTCTGTGTGTTTTCCAGTAACAGCAGAGCATACAGCTCTATGCAAACAAAGACACTTGATATCAACTAAAGAGAAGATTCCTTCTCTCAGCTTAGAGGGTTTTGCGCTGAGTTTTATTACCAGGCAGTTACTTGTTTTCATATTTCCTTAAATTCTGTTTATTTTGGCAACTTCTTGGCTTATGTTATTGAGTTATGTCAACGGAATGAATTGCATTTAGCCATTTACTTGTATACTTTTGCATTTAAGTCTTACGCATAAATGCCTTGTGTTTGTCAGATCTCCTTTGACCTTGCTGAGTACACTGCAGACGTTGACGGGGTAGGGACCCTACGTCTGCTGGATGCAGTGAAGACCTGCGGTTTAACTGACACCGTCCGCTTCTACCAGGCCTCCACCAGCGAGCTCTACGGGAAAGTACAGGAAATTCCCCAGAAGGAGACCACACCATTTTACCCGCGATCCCCTTATGGTCAGCACACACACATCTAAAAACATGTTGTGTCTTTCTATTTTTACATTTTTTGATAAATAAATAAATACACAGATGTATTTTACTGTTTATTTAACTCTACCCTATGTTCAAAAGTTTAGAATCAGTGAGATTTTATGATTTTGAAAGAAGTCTCTTATGCTCACCAAGGCTGCATTTATTTGATCAAAAATACAGTAAAAACATTAATATCCTGAAATGGTATTTCAATTTAAAATAACTGCTTTCTATTTCTAATATATCTTTCTAATATATTTTAAAATGTAATTTATTCCTATTATGCCACAGCTGAATTTTCAGCAGCCATTACTCCAGTCTTCAGTGTCACATAATCTTTCAGAAATCATTCTAATATGAAATATAGAATGCTAAATGAAGTGTGGAAACCATGATACAGCGTTTTTTTTCTTAGGATTTTTTGATTAACCGATCTATTTAATGCAGAGCAGCATTTTTTTGAAATAGCAGTGTTTTGTAGCAATAGAAATGCCTTTGCTGTCATTATGTAAGTATCAATTTCTTTAGAAAGTAAAATCTTACTGACCCCAAACTTTTCAGCGATATGCAAAAAAAATAAAAGAATTTTTTTACGTACCATAATGCTCACTACACATGTAAATATGTATTTTAAAGAAATAAATTCACTTTAATTCATTTGTAGAGTACAACAACCAAAGGATAGATTACAGTAAGCCACATTACAGTACAGTAAGACATCCTCATTTTGGATTAAATTGTTCTTTTTAGGCATAAAGCTTTCAAAGTTTGCTCAAATAACAAATATTTGCTACTAGATGGAACCTCTGAAGTGTTAATATGCCGCGAACAGTCTGTTAGTGCCTTGATGACAGTCTTGGCACGACAGAACTGTTTACACTGCAAGTGCGTGGCCTGACACAGCAACTAGATCTCTCCCGTTATAAGTGCTTAAAGTGTAGATATTTTCAGTGATTGTAATGGGAGTGACAGTTTTGTGGTGTCACAGAATCCGACTTATCTAGATGTCAAGATGGCTCAGGTTATGATTATAAATTATGAAACATACAATAACAGCTCTGCAGACTACACTAAAGGAAGTGATGCTAGAGTCCAGGGAGAATGTTGTATGTGTGGCCAAACCCATTATGATTGGTTTACAGGGGATTATCATGACACAACATTTGGTAAAGGGTGCAGCCATGACATTTTCTCCACAACAAGAGTGTTGTTCTGTGCCCCCACCCACAACCCCAGAGCAGTGATGTCATCCGCTAGCATTAGTGGTGTGGATTTTTAAGCCAACTAGACTGTCTAAGCGTGTGTGTATATGTTGAAGGACGTCGAGGAAAGAGGGAGTACAGGGCTGGAGGAGGGTTAGAGATAGCTAGATAGGGAGAGAGATGGATGGGATAGTGTGAAAAAAGCCAACTTCATTTCCTGTCCGATCTCAGTGGTAGCCTCCCCACATTGGGCGGGTCGGCGATGATGAGTTAATCTGGTTTGGAATTCACTTCGGAATTTCAGCCAGTGTCTACTTTCACCAATAAACAAACTTGCTCCGAAAGAGTTTACGAAATATGAGAAGAGTAAAAAAAATCTGTTACAAATCCACCACAGAGATGTCTGGGGTGTGTGCACATGTGAAAGCAGTTACACTTTGACACCTATTCAGGTTCGTCTGTCTAATAACAGTGAGTAGTTGCAGACGAGAGAAACGGTCATGCCAGTCAATCAGACGACATCTAAGGGCTCCTCCATTACACACTCATCTCTCATCTTTTTGTTCGCTCACATTCCCTCTTTCCTGTTGAAAGACGAGCGTTTTAAGAAGTTAAACCTCTCCAGGTGAGAAGTACTGCACCTGATGGTGTCGATGGACCTCTCACCTATTGCAGACACACACGCACACGCACATGTGCACACTGCTGAATGAGCCCTGAGTTGTTTTGCTCTTTCACTCCTCATCTACCCGTCTCACACACCTGTGTTTGTGTTGTCATGTTGTCATGGCAACAAAGAAGGGAAGTGAATGAGATGCTCCTTTAATGTCTCAAATTAAACATCTCTCCTCACCTTGCATCTCTCTTGCTTTCTGTTTCTCACTCTCTGTCTCTACGACACACACTCCCACATGCGCTCCAAAAAGCTGACATGGTTGGTTACTTGGGGCTCAACAATAAGGTTTTTTTTTCTGATTGCTTGGTTGGGCCATTTGTTCAGATTTCTACTTGACTTGCCAATATTTTCACAGGCCCTTACATAATTATTTTTATTATATTGTACATTTTATTTTATAAAAATATTTTAAGAAAGACAAAACCCTTCCGCACACTACTTTAGCCTTTTTATAATAGTTAGTTTAGTTTATTTTATAATATAATTTATTTTATAATGTCTTTTGTCTTATGTAACTACCTATGATTTTTCAGGTGTGTGAGCTTCAATGTTTTTTTTTTAATCATAAAAAAAATTGTATACAATATATTATAGAAAATAACTTTTATATATTGTATTAAGAATATAATTATTTTACATTCATAATTTTTGACATTTCTAAATGTTATTAATTTCGTATAAATACAAAAAAATTATCATTATTATCATACAGTTATCACAAATATAATTTTTTAAAATCAAATCTTTAAAAAGAAAATTTTGAATAATAACGTGAAGTTATATGGTTATATTTTGGCGTTTTCTCTATGTAGCTGTACTGAAAACACCAAGACAAAATGTTAAACTAAAAGACAGAAAACTAAGTTTAAGCTTCCAAGGCATAATAATGCATATACGTGCTTACAAAAAAAAGTATGATATAGCACTGACCCAATAGGACAAGTGACAGTTCAGTCAGCTGATCCGAAACTCATAATGGCCTCCAGGTCAGCAGGCCAACCATATTATTGAGCGCTGTTGCTGTTTTTCTGGTTTGACACTGTAGCTTTGCCAGTCCTGAAAGAGAGCAGGGCGCTGCTGTGTGTTTTTGTCATTGGTTTAAATGAACGTGGCAATCCGATGGTTGCGTGTACATCTGCATGAATGTGTGTTCAGACATGTGTCAAGAAACAGGAACAGGGTCTTGTACTGACAGTCGTTTTTTCACGTGCTGGAAATATCTGAGTGTCAGTGACTGATAGACCAGACATCTTGACTGCACTTTATTTCCACCTGGTTTGGCAGGGCATCTTTCCATCCGTTAGAAATTTAGCCTAGATACTCAACATTAGCCTCAGTCATTACTCTTAAAATGTGCATTGACAGCGCCCGGGCACTTTCTGCCGTTAACATGCACACCTGCAGGTCTGCAGCCTGTTTAGAGGCTTTGCCGCGATCCCGTTCGCATAATCACGGTCTAAACCAGCCCTAAACTGGGTTGTTGTAGTCTTGATGAGAGCGGGCTGCGGTCGACTCGCTGCGACTCTGCTCCTCGTCACGGCTTCCCACCGTGTGCTAAGAGACGGCCTAATTATACTCCGACTGGAAAAAGGAGCCGGTGCGTGGAAATGGCCTGTCTTGGACTTTTAAACACACTTGCACACAGACGCATAGCCGGCCCATTATTGTGGACCATGGTTTGGTCAATCGGCTTCAATTTACTTTTTCCCCCCTCTTTTTTTTTTTTTTTCAAACGAGTGAAACGAAATCAGATCCTCGGGTCCCCCCCGTGGTTTGTCTGTGACGATGGATTGACCTGGCTGTTTACAGTGTGGTATTTTAAACCGTTCTTTTCATGCCAAGCTCACGCACCTGGTCGTGAGCTGCGTTTAGCGTGGATTAGAAAGAGCCCTTTGTGATAGCAGCAAGCCTGTGCATGGGGGGCCCATGACGGACATCCTGTAAGTGGAAAGAGTGTGTCTACTTATGATTTTTTTTTTTCATTTAATTTCAGGTTACATTGCAAATCAGGGCTCAGCAGTAAAGATGACCCGCTGGCCTAGGGCCGCTGTTTTGCATCAGTGCTACAGTATATCTTACTTTTTTTTCAGTCATGTACAAGAATTTTTACGCCTTGAAAACATAAACATGGTTTTCTATGACATTTGATTGTGAATTCTGCTTATTAGTAAAAACTGTATTGCTATTTTTTGGTAAAGACAACTTGATTTGATTATAATGGGATGTATATGTGTGAAAAAAAGGTTTAATAACTAATAATATTTTTAAAATGTACACTTTTATGCATTTGGCAGATCCAACATGACTTACATTTTATCCAAAGTGACTTATATTGTATTCAGTGTGTAGTTTTTTTTAATCAGTTAATGCTTTCCCTGAGAATAAAACCCATGACCTTGGCGTTGCTTGCGCCATTGTCTACTGTTTGAATGTTTTGAAATAATTAAATAAATTTACATTTATGCATTTGACAGGTGCTTTTTATTAAAGAAGTGACTTGCACTGCTTTTAAAGTGTATTTTAAAGTGCATTTTATCAGTTCATGCGTTTCCTGGGAATTGAACCTTGGCAAATGTGTGTGTTTTGGTCATGATCTACTGTTTGAGCTACAGGAATGCTTATAAAGGTTTTTAAATAATTTTCAAATGAATTTACAATTATACATTTGGCAGATAGTTTTATTCAAAGTGACATGTAGTGAGTTATAGACATGTCATCAGTTCATGCATTCCTTGGGAATCAAACCCATGACCATTTGCTGTTTAAGCTATGGGAACTAAATATTAAACCTTACAGCAATTGTGTATTTATTATACATTTACAATTATAAATGTAAGAATGAAATTATAAAATCATTAAAAATGTTAGGCGCAGTGGAAAACAATAGTAGCAGAGCAAGTTGAAATCTAGCCTGACTGGGCTAGTAGAAAAAAGGTTTAAGACTGCCCCAATTTTGTTGACTTTTGTTTTGCAATTATAGGGCATGATCTTCCCGACGTTGCTGATTCTCTCCAGAAAGCTTTTACGGCCAGAATCACACACACATGCAGGCTTCAGCCAAGTGAAGAGCGTAATAGTCGTCGTTCACTTATACACTTAAACGAAGTGTGTTTCTGCTCTGACCCGGGCCTGATATTATAGGCGGTGGAGGTTTTCGTCTAGAACTCCCACCTCTGTCTGATTCAAGCTATAGCAGAACCCAGCAGGACATGAGAGTTTCCAAGGTTTCCCACAGATGAAGCGTGTGTGTGTGTGCGTGTGTGTCTGGCAGCTCAGTAGGACTTTGGACAGGCTTACAGATTCTCTGGGGTGGTCCACTGACTAGACAAGAGTCTGATTTTATCCCTGTGTGTGACTGTTAGTGTGTGTTTCTGCCTGTGTGAAGGAGAAGGACAGATTGACGGCCATAGTTCTCAATTCGCTTTGGCCGAAACACGCAAATTTGCACT